GCCTTACGAGTGCCGGAAAGGAGGTCGAAGCCCCTGACGAAACTGATTAATAAGGAATTGCCTAAGGGTCCAAGTACCCCAGAATCATAATATACTTCGCCAAAGCCTGTACTCCAACTACTAGTACCAAAGTCACAAGTACCTATTCATTGGCTGCATGAGCCCTTAAGGGATTGGCACTGGGACTCTTCCACTTCGTAGGGAGGCCCCTCCTTGCCAGGTGCTTTGGCTCCAAATGCCCAGAAAAGCAGTGAAATTCATCCTGAAATCTGCAGCTGGTCCTGGAAGCTTAGGCGGGCTTAGTCAGCATCTCTAAGCTTCAGAAAACTTCAACAACTGATCCGAGGCACTGAAGCACCATCCAGACAAGAATCCCCACGACCCGGCAGGGGCCAAGAAACGATTCACAGAGGCCTAGATGTGGGATCACTGTTTGGGAGGGACTAGATCAAACAGACCCCTAAACTGTTTATGGTAGCCTCATGGGGTTTGTAGTGCTGTATGACTGTAGGACACATGATGCAATTTTGGGGTTTCACTTCTTTGCCATTTCTTCTGTTTTTTCCGGCCCTTTGCTTCAGGAATGGCTCCCGGGTTATTCGTTTTGTGTAGTGTTTACCACGTGGCACACGGTCAGATGTTCATGGCTCCTTGGATTGAAGACTTGCCTTCCATCCAGAAAAACTGCAAACATCAACACGCTCAGACCTAAGCTCAAAACCTTTATTTAGGGCTTAGGGTTGATGGTTAAGGGTTTAGGGTTCAGGGGCCGGCAGCATAGAATCCCTGGCTAGGCCACATGTAGCATATCGGTACATCAAGCGGGGCAGTCATGGCAAGTTAAACATCTACCTTTCCAAACGAATGCTGCGCACAGCACGTATGATCACCCTTGCAGGACATGAAGGAATCTTGCAGAGGTGCCACAACCTCCTCTACACATCTAAGCCCCTAAGCCCTAAACGCTAAGCCCTGAACCCTTCACCCCGAACCCTCAACCCTAAACCCTGAACCCTAAAACCCTAAACCCCTAAACCCTAAGCCCTGAACCCTCAACCCCAAACCAAACAACCTAAACCCTGAAAAAAACCTTTGCAGCCCTGAACCGCCTCAACCCTCATGGTACCTTGCAGGTGGCCTTGGCCTACGAGGCCATCTGCGCTCACTTCTCCACATCGCGTGCGCCGCCGCCCAGGTCCTTCGCACATGGTCTAGGGTTTATAGGGTTTAGGAATTCGGGCTTAGGGTTGAGGGTTGATAGGGTTTAGGATTTAGGGTTTAGGATTTCGGGTGCGACGATGTGTGCATCCCTTTAATGTTGTGCAAAGTTAAGGGTCCAATGAACCCCAACACTTCTGAGCTAGGGTCCACAAAAGTCAAGGTGGGGGGCGTTGGATGCTTTACCCAGGAACACTAGACATGCGTGTTTGAGCCACTCTGCGCTGTTTCAAGGTTCGAGCCCAAGATCCCTAAGCCTCGAGTTTTCTACCCGAAGCATGCACAAATTCAACACCTGTTGTACTGGCTAGTATTCAAGTACTCAGTAAGAAGTTCAAGCCCCATGGCCCTATGGTAATTTCCCACAAGGTGCCACGCTCTTCTGAGCCTTTTAGCATTCTTCTGGATTGGTCGCATCATGAGGAAGTGCTATGATTATTCTGCTGCAGAGGGGTCGCCTAGCCAAGTGCGGTCCTGCGGAAATAACCATTCACAGCGGCTGGACTCTAGGACATCTGCTAGATGGAGATGTGTTGGAAATGCCTCAAACGGTGAGCCCTAGTCTGTAAGCCTGGCGCTCTCATACCAAGGCAGAAGAGGGATCACCCTAAACCCTAATCTATTAACGCTAAACCCTACCGTGAGGATTTGCAAGCAACATTTGGCAGCGCCCAGACCCCAAGCCCTTACCTGAACCCCAAAGTAGGTAAAATAATGGCCCAATACCCGCAAGACAGTCAACAGTCCATCCTTCTACAAACTTCAGGGGTCCAGGTACACCAGGAACCCTACAGATGTCCCAAACCAGCGGCCATTATTCTGGAAGCCTCAACAGGAAGCATCACGTCAAACCTTGGCCAGCCAGGTAGATGCAGACATCAAGTCAATGATCTCCTCTGCACAGCTCATAAAAGTCCGGTTTGGGGTTTAGGGTTCAGGCGTTTGTATTTGGAAGTTTCTCAAAACCAGGGTCTTCGGGAATTCTTGTAACAAGGAGCATTACCCTGTCCATGGATCAACCGCCATAAGAATTCCTGACAACCCCAAATCTTAAACAACTCCTGGGAGTTCAAGGCACAGCGTGCCTTGTCAAAAATGATCAATTTAGCTAAGTAGCTCAGCCAAAGCCAGGGGTAATTTCCTACAGTCTCTTTTCTTGCGCACATAGCTAGCACTACTGCTCCGTCATATATGTATACTTTTCCAGGTTCACTCCTCAAATGCAGAGGCGCCATGCAGGGCTACGGCTTTAAGCGCCGGAGCATGTCACTCCTTTCCGCCTAAGCTAACACTTCTGCCTCAGAACAACAGCTACCTTGCTGCTGAGCGTTTTCGACTTCCAACATCGAACAGCTTTGTCAAGAAAAATCTGCGCCGCTAGTATTTTTTCAAAGTTGCGTACCCCCCTAGCCAACATAGTCACCGATACCCATCTGGTTAGACAAGACAGTCGTCTTGACGAGGCCTGTGGCGAAATCTTTTCTGTTTGAGAAGTGTTCATGTGAGATTCTACTTGACTCGGAGCTCGTAGGTTTCGGACTTCTGGAGTTGCAATCCCCTTTCCTTCCAGCCTGGGGCATGGTTCAGGTTACGATTCCAGTGAACCCACAGCTCCATAACAAAACACAGTAGCCGCCATGATGGGAATCCCCCTGTATTGCCAGTCAGGCTTATTCTAGACACAGGACTGAGCCCTCCACCAAGTCATGACTTTAGACAACACTAGTGCTAAATGCTCGGCCCAACCACCTCCCTGAGGTCACTGGCCAAGGGTTACAGGGCTGAGTCTAATGCTTGCAGCTTGGCCTAGGATTTGGGCTATGTATATATATATATATGTTTAGTCTTGACTTGATCGCAACAAATGAACGTTTGACTATATGCAGTGTCTCATGCTCACTCATCGTTGAGTGGCAGCTATCGTGGCGTACAAGGCAGTACGTGGCATGCGGGCAGGAACCATTTTGGAGGTTATTTTCGGACATAACTTTCTTTGGGGTTCTATGAGGGTGATTTTGGGGTTACAGCAAGAAATGCAAAACAAACGATGATGGCACCACGCCACGTACTGAAGCTCCTGACTGTTGTAAAAAAAGGTCTTGCACCGTGTAAGCTAGGGCCTGTCTGTAGAAATCCCCGTGCTCCTTGCTTGGTCACTTGTACTTTTGTTTGGGAAGCCCCGACTGCTACTCGTTGTAGTCCGTTCAATAGGTCTCTCCGAATTTGAGGTTTCTTGGTGCTATTTTGGATGTACTGGTACTCTGCTATTTGTCCTTTGATTCCTCTCTGGGTGAAGACCTTTTGCCTACGTTGCATAGTGGCTTCTGGGCTCCTTGGAAAAGATACCAAATTACTTTGGGACCTGTAATAGTGGGGTTTTGGGTAACCTCAATCCTGAAAATGAAGACCTCTTGTCATAGGACGCTAATTCAGGGGGCTGGGGGTACACAAATCATCTCAGACCCTAAGCCCTAAACC